ACAGCACAGCAAAGGTGGATCCTTTCGGCCTGTGCCCCTCTGCTGTCCATCAAACTCTGAACAAATCCTCTTCCTTCTGCCTGAAAATCCCCTGCTCTCATTACTGGCGCCTTCAGCACAGGAATTCAGTCATTCCATCCTCCCTTCCTCTGGAGACCCTGGTGCTCTGAGCCATAAACACTCCAGCAGGTTCCACAGGTTCTGCAGCAACCTCGCTGGGCTTGGGATCTGGGATCCAACCGCTGGAATGTGGAACAGGCTGGCAAAACCTCTGTGCTTCTGTGAGGGAATGAGGAGGGCACTGGAGCCTGGGAGAGCCACCCAGGAGTCTCAAGGAGCTTCATCACTACCAGGTCCCCCTGGGGCAGAGTTTGGAGGTGCAGAAGGGGCAGGGTTTGGAGATCAGGACTCTGCCTGGCACAGCCCTACCTCAGCAGAGCCATTTGGGTCACCCCAAACCTGTCACTGCAGGAGGGGGAGGATCCAATGACCCACTGGAGAGCCAGAGTCTTGTGTTGGTGTGCCCGCTCCCAGAGCTCTGCACTCTCCTCCTGCCCCAGATGGTTCTTCATGCCTGGGAGGCAGCAAAGTAAGAGGAATGTCCCTGGTTCTGTCACCCTCTGGCTCTGCGAGAGCAGGAGCTGTGGCTGCTGAGCCTCACTTTCTGCCTGTGACAGCAGCCAACTGGCTCAGCCCTGGGCTTGCCACCCTCCACGTGAACACCTGAGAGCTCAGGTTCTCTGGAAAGGCCCCGTCCCGCCCATCCTGCTCTTCGGTGGGAAGCAGCATCACTTGATGAAACCAGCCCCAATTGTAAGCAGAGGCAGTGGCTGAATTCACCTGGAGGAGCCAATGTAGGTCACCAAGCATTGGCAGCAGCAGCAGCTCCTCTGTCCCATGACACAGCACAGCTGTGTCCCTTTAGCCCCCACCCCAGTGTCTGTGCCCAAGGCTGTGCCCCAGCTGCTGCAGGGATGGGTGATTCGGGGCATGTCCTCACATTCCAATGGGAAACAGAGGCCACAACCTCCCAGACTGCAGCTGTGGGTGACTCTGTGACATTTCAGGCTCGTGCTCAGCTTGGCAGGACCTGCTTGCCAGCATATCCCTGTCCCTGCTGCCACATCCCTGTCCTTCCCAGCACATCCCTGTCCCTCCCGGCACATCCCTGTCTTTGCTGCCACATCCCTGTCCCTCCCAGCACGTGTCACCGTGTCACAATGTGAGTTTCCCCTCCAGCCCGGCACACGCTAGGTACCCGGGGAGCCCCGGGGCTGTGCGAACGGCCGTGACCCCCACGGATCCCTCCAGACAAACCCAGCAAAACCGAGCCGCTCCTTGCCGGGCCGGGCTGAGCAGGAGCTCGATGCTCACATCTCTGTAAGGCGTTTATTTATCTCCCAGACACCCAAGGTGTGAGGCTGGTGCCCAGCCGAGATCTCTGAGCTCCCCCAGCCTGGCTGAGTCCCTGGGAGAGCCGGGGGCAGTTTCCAGGCACAAGCACCTCTGGATCCCGGCTCAGCTCCCCCTCCCCACTCCCGGGTTCAGCTCCTGCTGCAGGATCGCATCGTCTCAGTTCACAGGGATAATGGGCGAAAAGAGCCTAGAGACACCTGCCCAGTGAAGCAGCCAGGGATGGAACAGATGTATTAAAATCTGAATGAAATTGCTGCCAACAAAGTGCAGGAGTTCCTGCAGCTCGGGGTTATCTGCTGCTTTCCCATTCTGAACCGACGGAGCATGGTCAGCTCTATTCATCAGCCTGAGCTCAGAGCCCTGAAAAAGCAGAATTTCTCTGCCTTGATGCTGTCCCTCCTCAAAGAGACTCCCAAAAAAGGCAGGCCCCATGCATCTTTCATGGGACACTAAATAACTCATTCTGCTATCTATCATTTAATCCGAGCTGCAGAGGCTGAGGAGGGAGGGGTTTTGAGGGGGGAGATTTCTCTGCCTGCCTTGAGCCCTAAAACCGCTGCAGGCAGGGAGGGGGCGGGGAGGGGGCAGTGCCAGCTCTCCCAGCCCCACCTAGGCTGCCCCAGCTGCCCCCAGGCCGGGAGCAGGACGGGACTGTTGAAAGCACATTTCCACTCCACAGCACAGATGTTCCCAGCCCGTGCCAAGAGAGCGGGAGAGGCTCAAAGAAAGCAAACATTGTCCCAGGGCAGAGCGCAGTGAGCAGGGAGGAAGGTTTCTCTTTTTTTGCTGTTATTATTATCACGATGATTTGGCAGTGCAGAAGTGGATTTCTCTCGGGCTTGAGTCAGTTCAGCTCAGATCTATTCAGGATTTTATCCTGAAATCCAAGTGCTTCCATGGCACAAGGACTCATGCTCAGCAAGAGGGAACATTTCTAGTGCTGTCCTGTCCCCATGTCTCCCTAATCCAACCCAAACCCTCTGTGTTTTTATATCCATCCAGGCTGTCTGGTATCCCAGGCAGTTCATGCCGTAACAACAAGGAATTTTCCATCATAGTGACCAAGTGTTTCCATCCTTTCATTGTATTTGACACTCAGATTTTGCCCACCCCACATTTGCTCTGAAGCCGAAGCAGGAAATGGCAGCTTGAGAGACAGGAGCTGGAGAGAGCCAGGAGATCCCAAAAAAAGGCATTTTAGGGAGAAAGTGCTGACGCAACCCAGCAGTGCCAGATGCTGCAGCGTTGATAAATATTTGATTTAGCCTGAATAGGAAGGCATCACGTTCAGAATGACCTGAACAAGAGGCAAGATGACAAATACAGTGCCACTGAAAGGGCAGATTCACACGGTGAGCATTCCTGAGGTTCACTCCGGTGTGCAAATTGCCTTAAATTGGAATGAACTGGAGTTACCTGTGGGAAAGGCACCTCTGCCTGCTCCAGGCCGGATGGGATGCACTGACAGCCACGGGATGCCTCTGCCTGTGCTTGGAATGGCACTGTTTTGGTTTTCAGTCGTTCGCTGACGTGTGCTGTCAGAATTCCTGCACTGGCATCACAGGGGCTAGCTGTGGGGGTTGACAGGATCCCAGGAAAAATGATTTCACTACCCAGTGCTTCCTAATCCTGGCAAGTTTGAGGTTTTTGACATGACTGAGTTTCACTCTCTCATTTTAGACCATTTTCCTCGGCTGTGGTTGTCAGCTCCCCCATTCCATCCATCTCCCTCTAAAAAACCCCAGGTTCTCATCCAACTCTCAGTTCAGCCCTGCCTCTGGATTCTCCACCCCCCTCACTGTTCTTTAGGCTTTTCCTCACTTTCCTTAAGGAGTTGCTTTGGATTTTCGGTTGTCCTCAGTTCAGCACGAGCCCTGCCTTGGTTCCCTCTCTCCCTCCCTGCACTGCAGCTCTGGCTCGCGTGGGATGCTCAGGGCGTGAGCGTCCAGCCAAAACCAGACAGAGAGAAACAACAAGTGCTTTTCTCTTCAGTGAGCCGGGAGCTGCTCTAGATAAACCCATTCTTCCCACACTGCATGAAGCACCACCTGCCCTTGTTCGAGAATTCAGAGAGGAAAATCCCCACATCCTCACACAAATGCTCTGGCAGATCCCAGTTTCCATCTCCTCAGGATCTGCAGTGGGGTTTGCAGTGGGGGGTGTTGGGAGCAGGGCCAGGAACCTGCCAGGGGTCCCAGGGAACACTCGGGACTCTGCTTTGTGGATTGTCACCTTTGGATAGGAGAAGGGAACCTGATATTAAGGATTCTTTCATAAGGGAGCATTTCATCCACTGGTTTTGTATGGATTTCACAGCTCTGGCCAGGAGGATGCTGAGAAATGAACTTCAGCAGTGGATGCAGAGTCTGCTCAGGAGTCAAACCTCTGAGCTTCAGGGGGTTTGTAGCTGGAATTTCAGCTCAGCCCAGACTTCTCTGAGTGCCTGGGCCAGCAAGAGCCTCAGCAATGCCAGCAGCTTTCCTCAGGCAACTGAGGTCGGGAGGTCGAGAGCTGGGAGCCCCCACGGTGCTTCTGGGGCTCTGCAGGGCCAGGGGCTGCCCTGAGCCCCTGCACTGCATCCGCTGGCCCAGAGCGGCTCCCCGGGCACAACACCCCCGGCAGGGCTGCTTCCATCGCCATTCCCATCGCTCCAGGAGGAAAGGCTGAGTGCCCAGAGTGGCTCCGCGTGGGAGCTGCAGTCCCTGCAAGGCGGCTGCTCCCTCGGGGGGCTGGCAGGGGACGGGGGGTGACCCCAGCCAGGCTCTCAAGGGACATCCTTTGCCCATCAGGGCTGCCTGCGGGCGGGAGGAAACTTCGGCTGGGTTCAATCCTCTGTCCGCTCTGGATAAGCAGCTCCTGAGCCTCGGGCCACTCGCGGTGGAGCCGCCCCTGGGGATCCACGGGCGGCTGATCCCCCTCCATCTGCTCAGCATCGACAGAACGGTGTGGATTTAGTCTGACATCACTCCAGGGGCAGCACACGGCCCTGTGCCCGATCCGTGCCCGCCACACCGCTGGCTGCCAGCCTGGCATCCCCCTGGGAGGTCACCATCCTGTCACCACCCTCGAGCTCACACCCCGGCCCAGGGACATCTGCCCTGTGGGGAGGCGGGACCGTGACATCCAACAGCACCTCCTGACCCTTTCTCTGTCATCCTGCTCCATCTCCCTGACCCCAAACAGACACCAGGGTGTGGTGCCAAACAATGTGGGATGGGCAGGAGGTGGCCAAAAGTTCTGAACTCTGCCAGCACTGGGTTGGAAACCCCCGTTTTGTGACTCAGTGTGAAGGAACTGTCTTTATGTCCCGAAAGCTCAGTGTGGAGGGTGCAGAGATAACCATTGTCCCACTATTCCAATTCAGAGCACCCAGAGGTGGCAGAATTTTGGCATCTCACAGTGTCTCTGTGACACCCTGAGGTGATGCTGAGGGCAGCAGGGCACCATCCGTGAAGCAGGGATGGGACTGCCGGGAAAGCCGCGGGGCCGTGGAGGGGACAGAGGGACGGCTCACCTCGGGTAATGATGAGGGTGGGCTGGGGCACTCCGAGGTGGTGTTGGGACAGAGGGATGGCTCGCCCTGGATGATACTGGGCGTGGAGGGCTGGGTCAGCCGAGTGATGCTGGGCGCGGAGGGCTGTGGTACCGGGGTGATGCTGGGGACACAGGGGCGGGCGGGGCACGGCCGCCCGTGCCGCCAGCGGCACCTCCCCGCTCACCCCTCCTCCTCCGCTCCGCTCTCCTCCTCCCACCTCCCTCTCCCGAGCCAGCCCGGCCGGGGGAGGAGCCGGCCGCGCACAAAACCTCCTGCCCGGCCCCTCCGGGTCCCGCACCGGCACCGGCGGCGCCCAGCGCCCGCCCGGGGCCATGCGCGCCGCGGCGGGGCCGGGGCCGGCGGGGCCGGAGCAGGGCGGCGGCCGCCCGCGGCCATGAGCGCGGCGGGGCCGGGACCGGGACCGGGGCAGGGCGGCGGCCCCGGGCGGCGGCGGCGGGCGGGGGGCGGCGGGGCGAGCCCGGCGGGGCGGCCGCGGGCGTGGGGCGGGCGGCGGCGGCGGGCGCTGCGCTCGCTGGGCAGCCTGGCCGGGCGGCTGCTCCGCACCTGGGCGCGCCTGGCCGGGGGGCGCGGGGGCCGTCGTGCCGCCCCTGAGGATGACGAGGGCGGGTTCCGGGGGGCGTCGAGGCGGCGGCTCGGCGGGGCGGCCCCGGCGGCAGCGGCGGCGGGGGATGATGCGGGAGCGACGGCCGGGGAGCGGCCGCCGGGCGCGCAGGGGCTGCGGAACCACGGCAACACCTGCTTCATGAACGCCGTGGTGCAGTGCCTGAGCAACACGGCGCCGCTGGCCGAGCGCCTGGCGCTGGGCCGGTACCGCGCCCGCGGTGCCCGCGCCGAGGTCACGCACCGGCTGGCGGCCCTGATCCGCGCGCTCTGGACCCGCGACTACAGCCCGCAGCTCTCCGCCGAGTTCAAGGTACCGAGCAGCCCCGCCCCGCGGCCCCCGCGCGGCCCCAGCTGACCCCGGCCGGGAGCGGCATCCCCAGCTCGCAGCGGCACACCGGCTCACAGCACCAGGCACACCCCGGTCACAGCTCCCTCCAGACCCCCGGAACCCAGTGACACCCTTCCCAGCTCACATCACCTACTCCCCTGCCTCATCCTCCCCATGGACCCTGCCCTGCCAGGCACCCCCTCCCGCCCTGTTACTGTCACCTCCCTCCGGCCTGGCTACTGGCCCCTGAGCTTCCGCGGGTGGGTGAGCTCCCAGCCCTGGCCATGCCGTAGAGCCCTGAGGGTGAGCTGGTGCTGGCTGTGATCATGGGTAAGGCAGGATATTGTCCCAGGAGCCAAATTCAGTGGCCTCAGGCTCTGTCCCTGAGCGTGTGTCACACCTCTGCCAGGCTCATGCCTGGGGACAGGGTGTCAGGGGCATCACAGCATGCCCAGTCTGGCAGGGCAGCTCCTCATTCTCGGGGACGCGTGTACCCTGCCCGAGTGACATTCCCTCGGTGCTGCCGATAAACTGCTGCTGCCATTGAACTTTGCAAAGTGCCTGGGGGAGCTCCCGGGAAGCCGAGCCCTGCCCTGGGATGGGCTACACCGAGTTGATGCCATCGGAGTGCATGGGGCAGGTGGGATCTGAGGGTCCCCATGGCTGAACTCGCCTATAGTGGACTTAATTGTGGTTTTCCCTGTGTCCCCTCCTGGCCACCAGAAGCTGGGACACCCAGAACCTCTGTCTCAGCTGCGTGTGCTCTGCTGGCCCTGGGGTGGCCGTGATGTCCCTGCAGAAGCAGAACGAGGGCAGAGGCTGTTGCAGGGATGGAGCAGGGATGGTTTGGAGTGGGTGCGTTCATCAGCGCCCACCCCGTCCATGTCTTGCAGAACATCGTCTCCAAGCACAGCTCGCAGTTCCGGGGCAACTCTCAGCACGACGCGCTCGAATTCCTGCTCTGGCTGCTGGACCGAATGCACGAGGACCTGGGCGCCGCCTCCCCCGCCCAGCAGAGCCGGGGCCCCACGCAGGTGGGTGGCCCCCCCTGCGGGGGAAGGCGTTCGGGATAGGTCTGGGACCAGGGGTAACGGGATGTGCTGCAAGGCGGTGGGATGGACTTGGCCCCCGCGCAGGTGGGCATGGGGATGCTGTTGTTTGGTCGGTGCGCGGGTGAAAGGACGGTGGGAGCTGAGTGCTGCGGGGCTGGGCAGGGGTTGGAGTGCTGGGAGAGTGGGTGGTGTCTACAGGAGCCCATCTAGCTGAGCATCCCGGCATCCTGGTCCTTGGTGAGGAGGTGATGCAACCTCCCCCCCCCCCCCCCCGCCTCCAGCTAAGCTCGCTGTAATTACAGCTCGGCGGCTTTGCTGCTGGCAAAATGAGTAATTAAGTCTTCCTCAATCCATCTGCGCTCAGGCATTGCCCTGGCCCTGGCCCACCCTGCCTCCTCCCTGCTCCTTCTCCGCCTGCTGCTGCCCGCTGGGCACTGCCTGTTGTAGAGGATGGATTTGAGCTGTTGGCATTTGATACGTGAGCTCAGCCCAGCAGTGTGCTGTCCCCACTCCGGGGGTGACACCTGGCCCAGCTGTGTGCTGTCCCTGCTTTGAAGTGACTCCCACCTTGGACACAGGGAGCCTGGGAGCAGCTCCCTCCCCCCTGTGCCCAGCCTGGGGTGTTGTGGCTGTATCAAGGGTGAAGGTTGGGGTCCTGGGCAGACCCTGCCCAGCCTCCAGCACAGCTCTATCCCACAGGGAGAGCTCGGCTCTGGTGCCCATCTCCATAGCCTCTGGAGAAGCTGCCCTGCCTGGCCAGGGTCCTGCAGCCATCTGAGCTGAGCTGTCCTCAGCCCTTCCACCTTCCCCGGGAGGCATTTGGATGCCCCAAGCTTTTTGGAAGAGCCTGGCAGTTCTCCTTAAATGCCAGATCCCCACGTGTGCCATGAACTGTGGTGTGACACGACTGTGCCACCGGGAGGTGGTGCCATGGCAATGCCCAAGGCACCTCCCTGGCTCTGGGGATGGGGCCCTTTGTGTGTCCGTCAACATCCGTGGCTTTGCCTGGCATCCCCCAGGTTTGGCCCCTTTTGGCGACATCACCTGAGTGGCACCCACATGCCCCTGTCCCTCGGGAGGGAGGCCCGGCAGAGGTGTGACCCTCAATAAATGCCTGGGAAGTGTCTGGAGGAAGCTGTTGGGTAGGACAAGGGACCAAAGTGGGGACCAAGGCTTGGCTGCCAGGGGGACTGGGGGAGGAGGCATCCCCTTGGATTTTTTGGGAATTTTGAGGGCCCTGTAGGGCGCAGACACTGTCCAGGTCCCCTCTCAGCCACACCAGATGGACCCCAGTGCCAGGCAGACTGTAAAGACACGTCAGGCTCAGCAGGACCTGGTGCCAGCAGATGGCATTGAGGAAAATCCGCCTCCTGGCCAAAATCCGCAGTGATTTTCAATCTTACTCATCGAGACACCAGAAAGTCACTGTGTTACCCCAAAACAGCCCAATTTTTTTTTTTTTACTGACACTCCTTTCTGCAGCATCTCTTCCCTCAGGCTCCAGGGATGAAGCTCCTGGCCCCAGTGTGGGCACTGGGGCTCCTGGCATGTCCCAGGACAGCAGGCAGCCAGGAAGATGCCACTGGGCCATCTCACCCAGGATCTCCTCTGGGAATATTTCTCCCAGCTCAGATGCATTCCCAGCTCCAGCTCCTTGGTGTCCCAGAGCCCTGGACATTGGGGCTGCCTTGGGGGGGGTCTCACCATGCAGATGCTTCATTAACCCTTTGTGCCCTAGGCTGGCTGGGAGATGGGACACGTCCCAAAGGTTCCCCTGGAGGGCACAGCAGTGCCAGGCAGGCAGGTGCCAGAGTCTCTTTGGCATCACCTTCAGCCCACCCTCATGCCATAGAGACACCAAAGCTGGGCTTGGTTCACTAGGACGTGTCCCTGATGCCCTGAAGGACATGTCCGTCCCCTTAGCACCTTACTCACCACTTGTCTCTTGCCCCTGCAGCCTGGCAAGGATGGGAGCAGCGGTGCCAGCAGGTCCTCCCCAAGCACCCAGCAGCCCCGTGGGCAGAGCTTCGTGCAGAGCCACTTCCAGGCCCAGTACAGGTCAGTGGGGGGATGGATCCTGCCCACTTGGTTTGCTCTTCTGTGCTCTTCCCCTACATGCACTTGAACGTGTGCAAGGCAGGTTGGACAGGGCTTGGAGTGACCTGGTCTGGTGGCAGTGTCCCTGCCCATGGCGGGAGGCTGGACACGGTGCTCTTTGAAGGTCCCTCACAACCCAAAGCATGCTGTGCTTCTGTCACAGGACTCAGGACAGTCCCAGCACTCCAGCACGAGGGTGCCACTCTATGGGACACCCCACACGTTCACCTGGCTGGGACTCGTGGGATGCTCAGGCCACCCTGTTCCCAAGCCATGGCACTGCAGGCAGCAGGGGACACATCTGGCATCACAAGCCCTTCCTCTTCTCTCAATTAATCCCTCGTCCTATATGTGAAAAAAGGCACTTTAATTATCCCTGTTCCACGTGCCAGAGCCGTCTGTGCGCTAAAGGATTTATTAATTTGTGTGGCTGTTTCCCAGAGACCTCTGGTTCTTAAAGGTGACAAATTACGAGGACTCAGGATTTTGCTTTGGATTTTAATTTATTTTTTCCCTTTTTGTTGAACAAAAAGGCAGGGGGAAAAAAAAACCCTAAATAAAACCAAAGCAAACAAAAAAAACCCCCAGAATTAAGACGAATCAGCAGCAGGTGCCAGGGTGAGCAGGGGACCAGAAGTGCCTCCCCAGGACCACCCTGGGGTCAGTCACAGGCAGATGTTCTCCTGCTCCTCCCTCAGCCCAGCCATGGCCCTGCTGCTTGGGGGGGGCGGTTCCACCCCAGCACCCTGGGGTGTTGTCCCTGCTTAACCTCACCCAGGCGGGCTGGAGTCACCTGAAAACCTCCAGGAGCTGCCCCAGGCTCTGTCAGCCCTTGAGAGGGGGAGCAGCACTTGGGAGGGCTTGGAGGCCACACTGAGGAATGGGAATGGGAGACTCCCAATCCTGACATTCCAGGAGGCACTTCAGGAGCCCTTCTCTGGGTTCAGACTGAACAGATCTCGGGTTGGGCAGGCAGGAACAGTCTGGGGGCCCCACTCTGCCAGAAGGTCATGCAAATCTCCTGTGATGCCAGAGCTACCTGAGCCCCAGGAGATGTGGTATCCAGGGAGTGGTACTTGAGATGTGGCACCTGGGATGATGGATTTGGGATGATGGGTTTGGGATGTGGTATCTGGGATGCAGCACTGGTACCAGGGCTCTGCAGCCCCAGGGTGGGCACTCTCGGGGCTGTGCCCGCTCTGGTGACCCTCCCCATCCATTTCCTAGGTCTTCCCTGACGTGCCCTCACTGCTTGAAGCAGAGCAACACCTTCGACCCCTTCTTGTGCATCTCCCTGCCCATCCCACTGCGCCAGACCAGGTGAGCCTACATCCATCCCCCGGCGGGATGGCAGCTCCAACCAGAGCAATTCGCATATTTTGGGGTGAATAACGATCATGGGAGGTGGCGGCAGCGCTGAGAGCAGGTGACAGCCCCAGGAGCCGTGTCCTTTGGGCGTGTGCCATCGGGAGCTGCCGTGCCGGCACCGGGATCCCCCGGCGGTGCCGCCGCGGCTGAGCTGTGTCCCCGCGCTGTCGCCAGGGCTCTGAACGTCACGCTGGTGCTGCAGTGCGAGCGCTGGCGCTTCGTGCGGGTGGGCCTGGCCGTGCCGCTGCTGGGCACCGTGGCGGACCTGCGGGCGATGGTGGCGCGGGAGGGCCGCATCCCCCCGGAGCAGGTAACGGGGCGCGGCGGGAGGGGCGCGGCGCAGCCCGCGGGGTGCTGAGGGCGTGGCCCCGTCCCGCAGGTGATCCTGGCCGAGGTGTCCCCGCGGGGATTCCTGCGCTCACTCTCCGACCCCGAGGCGCTGCGGGCGGCCGGCGAAGCCGGGCCCGTCTACGCCTTCCAGCCGCCGCCCGCCCGCCGCGCAGGTACCGCCCCTGGATCTGATTGGCTGCGAGCGCCTGGGCTGCGCTGGGATTGGCGCTGGGCGGGAGTGGCGGGAGGAAATGGATCCCTCACTGTGATTGGTGGAAGGGAATTGATTCCCTTACTGTGATTGATGGGAGGCCATGGGTCTCTTGCTGTGATTGGTGGGAGGGAGTGGATCCCTTGCTGGGATTGGTGGGGCAGTGGCGGGACTGTGGGAGGCAGTCTCTGCTGGGATTGGTGGCAAATGAATCGCTTTGGCTAGGATTGATGGGAAGGGTGCTGGTGGGCAGGGGCATGGCACTAATTAACCCAGCGCTAACGAGAGCCTCTCATTTCCCCGCCCTTCAGGGTGTCCCCGCAGCCTCCCCACGTCCCCCGCAGTGCCACGGCCGGAGGGGCCGCGCCTGCTGCCCAGCACTGCCCTCTCCTCTGACTGCCTGCACCGCGCACCCGGCGGCCGCATCCTGCTGCTGCTCTGCAACACGGCGGGCACGGGGCCGCAGCTCACCAGGTACCTGTCACCTGCCACCCGCCTGTCACCCTGTCCTGCTCTGCCCGGCCCTGTCCTACCCACCCAGCACCTGTGTGATACCCAGACCCGTGTCCCTGCTGCCTGTCCCCAGGTTTGGGCCGCCACTGGTGCTGCGGGAGGAGCGCAGCGTCTCCTGGGAGCAGCTCCAGCAGAATATTCTGGCCCAGCTAAGGGGAGTCTTGCGGGGAGAGGTCCTGCCTCAGGTGACCCAGGGAAAGCCATCAGATTTTGGGGGCTGTTTTTGCCCCGTGTCCCGAGGCCTGGTTTGTCCAGGTTCTGCTGCTGGGCACGGGATCCCTGTCCCCTGGTGACCCCACAGTCCACTCTGCCCCCACAGGGCACAGAAGCTCTTTTCCGGATCCGCCTGGCAGGGGGCTCAGTCCCCTGCACCTACCTGTCCCCTCAGGATCCTCGTCCCCTCTGCCACCCTGCCATCGACAGGTAAGGGGCTGCAGGGACAGGACTGTCCCCAGAATGTCCCCTCAACCCCTGGGGGTGGACGGTGGTATCACCATGAGTGGGCACAGTGTCCCTGTGCATGACTGTGTTGTCACCATGGGTAGCCAAAGGTGTTCCTGTGGCTGGCCAGTGTCACCATGGGTGGCCAGTGGTGACACCTTGGATAGTCACAGTGGTGGTCACTCTGCTCTCCCAGCACTGGGTCCCCAGCCCAGCGCTCCCACTGTGCGAGGTGGTAGCTGTCCCTATCTGCCAGCATGGGCTGGCAAGGAGGTGTCCTATGGGGACAGGGGTTCTGGGGACATCTCACCCTGTCCTCCCCTCAGGGCCCTGCAGCTGAGCGGGGCCGGGGGCCCTCCCCACGTAAGGCTGACGGTGGAGTGGGACATGAGCACCAAAGAGCGGTGAGTCCCCTGCGCCGGGGCTGAGGGGACAGCCCGGCACTCGGGTAACCCTCGCTGGTGACACTTCCCCCGCAGGCTGTTCGGAAGCATCCAGGAGGAGGTGGTGCAGGATGCAGAGAGCGTGCGGCGGCAGCAGCAGGCGCACGGGCAGCAGCACAGCTGCACCCTGGACGAGTGCTTCCAGCTCTACACCAAGGAGGAGCAGGTACGAGCACCCCGGGCACTGCCCACGCCCTGCCCATCCCTGGCACAGGGGCTGTTGGTGCTTGCGGTGCTGGGCGCACCTGTGGAGGTGACGGGGGGGTGACAGGGAGGGAGGTGGCCATAACGTGGTGTCCCCAGCTGGCCCCGGACGATGCCTGGCGCTGCCCGCACTGCAAAGTGCTCCAGCAGGGCACGGTGAAGCTCAGCTTGTGGACGCTGCCCGAGATCCTCATCATCCACCTGAAGCGCTTCCGGCAGGTGGCTGAGCAGCGGCACAAGCTCACCACTCTGGTGAGGTTCCCACTGCGGGGGCTGGACATGGCCCCGCACGTGGCACAGCGGGGCCAGCCCGGGGGGCAGCTCCTGGGTCGCTGGGCGCCCTGGCAGCCCCCCCTGCGCCTGCCCCCGGGCTGCCCCCGCGAGCACCTGTACGACCTGTACGCGGTCTGCAACCACCACGGCAGCATGCAGGGCGGCCACTACACCGGTGAGTGGAGGACACTGGGGACAGGGAGGTGCCATGGGGCAGGGCAGGGGGGAGCTGGAGTGCATAGGACATACAGGATGGCGCTGCAGCCACTCCTGCAGCAGACAGGGCACCGGAATGTGCCCCCCAGCACCACCCCACTCCCTCAGTGTGTCCTTGCACCATGGCGCTCCTGGTTCCCCCTGCACCCCGGGGCTCGGGGCATCCCGGGACAGAGCCCCCGTCCCCCCTCACCCCGTGCCCCTCGCCCTCAGCGTTCTGCTGCAACGCCCTGGACGGGCGCTGGTACAGCTACGACGACAGCCGGGTGGAGGGGGTGCGCGAGTCCGAGGTGAGCACCCGCAGCGCCTACATCCTGTTCTACCAGCGCCGCCGCGCCACCGGCTCCGGCACGGGTGAGCCCCAAATACCTGCCCACCGCACCCCGACACTGCCGCGGGGCACAGCCGTGTGGCCACACACAGCCCTACGTGTGACCCACACCTGTGCGCACACCCCTGCCTCTGCCCGCTGCACAACTTGCACAGAGACCTGCCGCTCCTTCCCTGCGGCTGTGCACACCCCTCACCTACCCGTGTGCCACCCCCGGCCCACGCCCGCCGCTCCCCGCAGGCTCCGCAGCCTCCACGGGGCACTGGGTGTTCCGCCTGGCCGCCTCCGAACCCCGCGCCGACCTCCGCACCGACCCTGACCTCCGCACCGACCCCGACCCCTCGGGCTTTGTGGCCGCCCCGGAGAACGGTGAGGCTCAGGATGCTCAGCCCCCGGTCCCCACCACGCTGCCCGCCCGCTCTGACCGTGATTCTCCCGCAGGCGGGTTCGAGGCGCGGCCCCCGGTGCGGGGGCTGCAGGGGCTGCACGGGCGCAGCCTCAGCGTCCGCACCGCCCCCTCCGGACCCCCGGGACAGGGGGAGTCGGGCTCCCTCCGCGCCCCACGACGGCTCCGCCGGGCCGCCAGCGCCGAGGGGACCCCGCGCCGGCCGCCCCCGGGCCCCGGCAGCCCCGAGGCCGCGGTGCCTCAGGGGGACGCGGGTGTCCCCCCGGGCCGCTGTCCCTCCGGCCCCTCGGTGCTGGGCCGGTCGCGGAGCTCGGCCAGCCTTCCCCCCCGGCCCGAGGGGCGGCTGAGCAGATCCGCCTCGCTGGGCAGGGGCGCGGGGGGGCCGCCCCTGGCCACCCGCGTTCCCCCCGGGGCCACCCTGCAGCGGGGCCGGCAGCCCCCCAGGCCCCTGCGCCCCCCGGCCGTGCCCGAGTCCAGCTTCTGAGCCGTGGAATGGGGGGCAGCACCCCCCAGCAGCTGTACAGCAGGTCCTGAACGGATCGGGGAGCTCCCCGACTGGGGGTGTCCCATCACGAGGGTGCCTGAACCAGGGATCCCAAACCAGGAACATCCCGACCGGGGACATCCCGATCTGCGGGCTCCCAACCCAGGGTTCTGAGCCGGGGGAAAACCAAACCAGGGTGTCCTGACCCAGAGGCTCCCGAATGGAATCCTGACAGAGTGCTCCTGCCTGAGTCAGGGCAGCACAGATCCTGTTCCAGAAGCATTCCAAACCAGGACCAGCCCTAGCTGGGAGTTTCAGACCTGGATTCATCCCAAACTGGGCTCATCCCGACGTGTGGCTCTGAACCCGGGAGTCCCCCAGTGCAGGGCCATCCCAAACAGGGCAGATGGGTGCAGGGTCCTCAGCTCTGCAGCACCAGAGTATTTATTGTACCAGGAGAGTTTTATTCAGAGACGCTTTTTGTTTTCTAAAAGGCGACTATTTGGGGGTGGGGAATTCCTCACACCTCAGTCTATGCAATCCCCGATTCCTGCAGCCAGCTTTTGTACGGGGCTCTACCCCACCGCCGGCGGTTTCTATTAAAGACACGTGAAACAAGTTCAGTGTCCATCTCAGGGGACGTGTCTGAGGGGTAAGGGGCTCTGTGTGCCTTGGGGGTTGGTCCTGGTTCTGCACTGGGGATCAGCCCGGGATCAGGGGTCAGTCCTGGCTGGATCCTGCTGTGTGGGGTGGCTGTGCCTGAGGGAGCTCTGGGAGCAGGGTGGCAACACCAGAAATGGTGAAATCGTGGAGCTGAGCCCACCCAGACATGAGCGAGATGTGTGGGAAAAGTTGGTGCAGCCACAGTGAGGGATGGAGGTGGACGTGGTTGGGTCAGGAGGGAGATGGAGGAGATGGACAAGAAGGGGCTGGTAGACTTGGAGGTGGGATCAGGGTGGAAACAAGTGCGAGTGGAGGAGGTGGGATTGGGGTGGAAGTGGAGGTCGGGGTGAATGAGGTGGGATGGAGGTGGATGGTGGGCAGAGATGGAAGAGGTGGAGATGGGAACAGGGTTGGGTCGAAGGAGAGGAGGAACGTGGAGGAGACCGACCCTTGCAGGAGGCTGCCCCAGGCCACAGCCCCTGCGGTGCCACTGCTGCTGCCGTGGCTGTGGCCCTGCTTTGTGGCAGGGGACACGTGGGATTGTTGCTCGTTGTCACCCAGACACTCGGCAGCCCTGGGTGTGGCAGTTTCCCTGGGATACCCATGACTGCTGGCAGTGACAAGGACAGGACCCCACCACTGCTCTGCACCCCACAGCTGCAGCTGGGAGAGGCTGGGAGCCCCAGTGACCCCCCACGCCTGACCCTTCCCCATCCCAGGGCACCAGACCCGTAATGTTCCCTATAAAACACCAAACCACCCTTTTATCACCCAAACCCTCTCCACCTCCAAATCCTCCCACCAAGGCCAGGGCAGGAAGCAAAGGCCGGCTCCGCCGGGCAGTTCTCAGCGAGTGGCACACGGATTTATTGTATTTATTGATTACTTTGGGGTGCTGGTGCCCCCCGGTGCCCACCTGGGGTGGGGGGCACGACGCGAGCGGGGCGGGGGTGAAGCGCTGCCATTTCCATCCTCCCTCTCACCCCGGCCGGGCGGGAATGGCTCCAAATAAAACAAATCTCTCTATAATTTCTCTATACAAATATAGAATATATATATATATCTCTGCCGATATATATATATAGATCTTCTCTCTCTGGAAAGGATAAAAGGTTAATTTGTCTGTGCATGCACGACCAAAGCCACCAACCCCCGGGTACAGCGGGTGTCGAAGGACGTGCACCTCCCCCGCCAGCACCCCTAGAGCCGGGGGGGGGGCACATCCTGCGTCCCCAGGTTATTGCTGGTCAGGTCCCATCCTGCTCCCAGACAAGCAGAGGGGGAAGAAGCCAAAGAAAGGAAATCCCACTGTAAAGCGCCGGCCAGCACCTTGTCACCTGGCCAGCACCCAGTGGCACACGCCCCGGGGCACGGAGGACATGGTGGCATCACCCCAGGGTCGTAGGTGCTGCGGGGCAGGGGGGGCAGGCACCCGGTTCAAAGGCAAAGTCTGGATAAGGCGAACAAAAATGAGCTAAAGAACAGCGGCCGCCCCCAAACCGGGCGCTTTGCCACCCAAAACTGGCCCGTGGCCCTCGGTGCCGGTGGCCGGTGCTGGCCCCTGGGTGCCGCATGGATGAGCTTGGGGACAGGGACACTGTCATAGGGCTGTGCTCTCCGATTCCTCCTCCTCCTCCTGCCGCGGGGTCAGGCTCGGCCCCGAGAGTCTCTGCGCTGCCTCGGGCGGGTCCCGGCACAGGGCGGCATCCGGGGACACGTGGAGGGAGGGGACCTCAAAACGGAGCAGACCTGCGGGAGGGCACAGCGATGGGGACACCCACCGGGGCTGGCACCGTGTTAGTGCCACCACCAGGGCTGTCACCACCGCCCTCTGCTCTGTGGACCCCACCCGAGCCAGGGCGGTGACACCAGCTGTCCCCACACGCTGCCCGTGTCCCGTGAAGCTCTGTCCCACCGAGCGCAGGTGACACTGCTGTCCCCTATCCCAGGAGACCCGCAGGGTGAGGCTGCACGTGTGAAGTGACAGGGTGATCACAGCCACAGACAGGCGGTGTCACCGTGTCCCTTGCTGAGAGCAGAGCAATCTCCTCAGATCGAAAAAGCACTTCTGCCACTCCTGCCCAGCTCAGGGACATCGCCTGGGGATATTTCTCAGGGATAATGCCCAGGGATGTTGCTCAGGGATATTTCTCAGAGACATTGTTCAGGGACATTGCCCAGGAATATTTCTCAGGGACATTATTGCCCAGGGATATTTCTCAGGAATATTTCTCAGGAATGTTGCTCAGGATGTGGCTCAAGGATCTTGTCTCATAGTGAGACAGGAGAGCTGCACCTGAGCCAAGAGTGATTCAGGGTGTGACGTCAAGGCTGCATCCATGCCAGGGTGCCCTGCCAGGCCCACAGCAATGCGTTGGCAGAGCCACACCGATACCAGTGCCACCCAAAGGCAGGTGGCAGCCCCTAGGGACACCGTAACCGGCCCCTCACTGCCACTCACACTGTCCGACCCCTCCCAGGCAGGACGAGCACGCAGGGGACAGAGCCCTGTTCCCTGCCAGATCCCATGGAAAGGACACTGGGACAGTCCCCCAGCCTCTGTGTCCTCCATGGTCCCCAATGCCACCTGGCACTTCCAAAGCATCCCCCTGGCTGCCCCCTCCAGCAGCGCAGGGACTCCGGGGGGACACGGCACCAACACGTCCTGGGGAGAGTTCCACTTTTCCATGGCCACCTTCAGGGGGACGTCGGGACTCTCTCGGGCCAGCACCACCTCGCTGGGGCCAGTTCTACTTTGTCTGGGCTATTGTCACCTTCCTGGGGACAACACCAACTTCCTAGGGCCGGATCTGCGTTTCCAGGGACATTGTCGCCTTCCTAGGGAACAGCGCCACCTTACCGGGCACAGTTTTGCCTTTCGAGGGACAGCTGCACCTTTCGGGGGAGGATGCCACCTTCCAGGGCGCAGTCCTGCCTTCTAAGGGCCATTGTCCCTGTCCTGGGGTACTCTGCCACCCCCCGAGACCCCCTCGCCGGCGCGGTGCCGCCGGGGTTACCTGTGAGCGCGCCGTCCCCGGGGCCCGCGGTGTCCAGGCGGGGCGGCTC